AACTGAAAACCCCTCAAGGCAAAGTGAAAATTAAATCAGTGACTGATACATTGGTCTTCATATCTTCAACAGTAAATTTCTTTTTACTGTGGTATGAGGGCACTTGTTGGTACTAGTTGGTACTATTTAAAAAAATCTCCCGTCCAGGGTGTTGTGCTGCTTTGTGCCCCATGCTGCCTGATAGGATCCACCCCCATGACCCTGGACTAGATAAGCAGATGCATGGGTGGATGAATGGATGATGAATAGATTTACAAAGAGGGCTAAAAAGGCACGATTAGGCAAAAGGGCCTGAGGGCCAAACCTTGGGCAGCTGATGTGTGTTATGGCCTTGAGTTTCTACAAGTTATAGTCCCAGTATATGTGAAACATTATCAAATATTTTAATACACTTTTGTTTGCTAAATAATGCATAAACATAACATAAATAATGTTATGTTACATCCCAGGACAGCATTGATAAATTATTGACCCGTGAGATGTGAACCAAACATGGAGAACTCAACCTCACAGACTGTCTTTCTGTTGCTGTCCTTGAATACCTGGTAGAAATAATAATAATAAAAAAAGTTTCTCTCACTAAGAAATAAATAAAGGAAACTCCTGAACTTTTCAGATCCTCATCACATGTTTTTATGGAGCAGGGAGTGGAAGGCAGTAACTTCAAAACCACATTTATTAAAACAAAGCCTTATAAATGTCACAGAGCCCCACTACAGTGTCCTCCATGCATCCCTGGAGAGCTCACGAAGCAGCCAGAAATGCACCACTGAGAGGCAGGGTGAGCTGCTGAGGAGAGCGTTGTTGGGGGCTGGCCAGCCATAAAAATGGCAGCTGAATGTCCTTCACGTCTTCCTGCAGCCCGTAAGCCTACAACCCTGTTTGTCTGTAAGGCCACTTGTGGTAAGTGAGAACATGCACTGAATGGCTGGACATGGTTTTACAGCCCTATATTTAAATTATTACCCATCGCGGGCTACAGGCTATATATCTGGTCAAGGGCTGTAATTTTAGCCTCATACGTTATTGGTCAAAGTCTCAGGCACCATTAGGTACCACATGTGCCCTTTTTATAGCATGTTGCAGCACAGGAAGTGTGACCTAGACCAAGTGCGCACTAACTGAAGTGTACACTAGATTAAGTGTACACTCAGCTCAACTAAAAGGTAGGCACCTCAGACACAGCATGAACTGTGGTTCAGGTTGACTATTTAAAGGTTGCAGACATGATTTGTTTTCAGTAGCAGTGCGCAATGTGCTATGAATGGGATAAATATTTGGAAAAGGAACATTTAACTATAGCAATTTGGGCACAGCCATTCTTTCAGGAGATATTATTAGGTTATAGATCCTTCTATAGCCATATATCTAGTACAGGGTGACATTGAGCCCATGGTCTATCCCAGGACGCTGAGGACACAAGGCGGGGAACACAGCAGACAGAAAACCGTTCACAGAGCACAAATTCACACTATGAGCAGTTTAGTGTCGCCAATTCACCTAACTGTGTGTTTTTGGATTATAGGAGGAAATACATAGAAATACAAGCCAGCGCCATACACTCCCTACACTCCCTCAAACACAGAGAGCTAGGATTCCAACCTCCAGCGGAGTCTACAGTGCTTATTCGTAGGCCATTGTGCTAGGTCTTGGTTTATAAATCATCTAGGGCATGATTTGATATTTTGACCACTGGCAGTGTCTTTAGGAAGTCTCAGTACTCGGTGTATTGAAACAAGAGCAGCCAGACACATAAGCTTAATCCATTTATAGGCCCTGACAGATTAGCTTACAGCTTTATATTAACTATTTCCTATGCACAGCTGCTGTCTCCTCTATGCATGTTATATGGATGCCGGCTTAGAATGGTAGAAAAAAAACTGATAGTAGGGGGGGGAGGGGAAGCAGAAACAGTATTTTATCATAGTCCTCCCAGACCCATTGGGTTGTTTGTTTTCTTCTGAACCTTTTTTCCAATTCCAAATCAAAATACCCTTGCATGTTCTTTTCCCCCCCAGTCTACCCCCTCCCTCCAGCTATTGCAAACTGATAAAAAAAAAAAAAAAAAAAAAAAAACTGGAGATACTGATGATCTCATGGCCTGGTTTCCATAGCAACCCCCGCACACAATGGGGAAGGCTGATACAACCCCTTTGTGCTCTGATTTGGTATTCTGATTAATAGAATCGTTATTCCCTCTCTCTGTATTTGCCCCAAAGCCAGGTGTACATTGGTTTTTTTCTTCTTTGTCTATTCACGTGAAATTAGTGTTACACTGCATATTTTGAATCACACAAACTTTATAAAGGGCTACAAATGCAGATGTATTCAATCTGTTGTTATTATTATTATTATTATTATTATTTTTTGAGTGCAACCCCTTATGACAACCTAGATAACATAGTCCTGGAACATTCTGGTTATCTGGTGTTACTATGCAGGAAATAGGATGTTGGCCCAGAAGAGTGTCCAGCTACTAAACTAGAGGCACTAGATCCATAAATAAGAAACGCTGGAGCACTTGTGTCAGTAAAAGAAGCTGCCTGATGAGGTGGCATCGCTTGGGTAAGGGCTGGAGACCAAACCCAGCACTGCACTGGATAGAGGATGTTCTTCTCACAATTGGTTGTTTTGAATCGGTGTAATTGATCATTGAAAAGAAGAGAGCAATATCAGAGAAAGCTTAAAAATCGAGAATGTCAAAGCACTTATTATTGGACTGTGATAAAAGCGCATGTTCCCAAATGCACACACACACAAACACACATCTCGGATTTTCAGACACTGGAGTGTTTAGAGAAGTGTTTCCCATCCCGGTCCTCAGGGATCCCATGCCGGTCCACGTTTTTGTTCCCTCCCAGCTCCAAAAAAAAAATAAAAACATGTTCAGGTAGTGGCATTTCTGTGGCCAAAAACTCATTAATGAGAGAGGCCAGAGGACAATAGGCAAACTCATTAATAAAACAGTGATACTTTATTTATTGAGTAATTTTGCATATCCCATCTTGCTCTGTATGAAAGAGAAAGACATATTCAGCAGTTTTGGGGGCAAAATGGGTTCCACCTGATACCAGCTAAGGTTGCCACTTAGTGTAGATAAACTAACGATATGTAATACATATCGCCCACCAGATGGCGCTGTTGGTTCACAAGTGGAGACGTGGGCGTTTCCTGTCAACCACGGTTCTAGCTCCATAGTTAGGGCCGTATGTATGTTTGGCTGTCCTAAGATGGACTGGCGTTTCGTCCTTCATGGATGTAGGTCATCATCATCATCATCATCATCAACAACAACAGTAATAATAATGTGTCATGCGTTTTCGTCCAATGGAAAAGACTTATTTTGAAATGCAAAGTGAGAGTTCGCAGGAAAAAATGGATTATATGCTGGCTGAAGCCGATTGACTTAATTGTGCCATACAGTCATCCACGAAAGTTCGTTTCAAACTAACCTGCTTGTAATCCTGCTTATTTGGAGTTTGATATCCCATATCGAAGGAGCAGAAGACTGCTACCGGAAAAAAAATCCCTACTAAATAATAGATAACTGAGCGTTTGATTTGGCTCAGCATTTCCCACGATAGCGTATCCCAAAATTCCATTTTGCTGCCTATTACGAGCACAGCTAGACCGAGTCCAACCCTGTGGATTTCTAATGTAGAGGCATGAAGTTAAACCAAAAACGCAGAAAGCAGAAAACAAAGATATTTATAAGGAAAACGTGTCACACACACATTCATTCATTCATTCATTTCCTTGACAGAGTAATCCTAGTCTAGTACATGGCACACAGGACTTGTCCTATGGCGGTCCCGAAGTCCCTTCACACACTGCATGACCACAACCCTGTAATTCTTCTGGGCCGCAGTAATCGTTGAATGGCCACGGTTGCTTTTCCCGATTGTCCAGCCAGCGGACACGGATCCTGCTGTAAAGCAGTTACTAAAACTCCCTCCGCATCCCTGTTCGCACCTCCCGTCGACCCCCACGTACGCTGGCCTATGAACTGTCTGCTGATAACAAGCTGGATGGTCCCTCTCCTCTTTAGCCTGGAGGACGCAGCAGCCATGATTTCCAAAAGAATCTGAAATTTTGATTCATCACAGCACAGGACAGTTTTCCTTTTTGCCTCAGTCCATCTTAAAGGAATTCGGGCCCAGAGAAGTTGGTGGTGTTTCTTGATCATGTTTAGATATGGCTTCTTCCTTGCATGGTAGAGTTTCATCCTGCTTTTGTGGATGCAGTGATGAACTGTGTTCACAGACAGTGGTTTTCGGAAGTGTTCCTGAGCCCATGCAGTGATTTCCACTATAGAATCATGTCTGTTTTTAATGCAGTGCTGCCTGTGGACCTGAAAATCACAGCTATTCAATATTGGTTTTCGGCCTTTTCCCTTGTGTACAGAGATTTCTCTGGATTCTCTGAATCTTTTAATGACATTATGTACTGTAGATAATGGAATTCCCGAATTCTTTGCAATATTATTTTGAAGAACATTATTCTTACATTGTTGCACTATTTGCCCACAGTCTTTCACAGAGCAGTGAACCTCTCCCCATCTTCACTGCACAGAGCGGTGAACCTCTCCCCATCTTCACTGCACAGAGACTCTGCTTCTCTGGGAGGCTCTTTTTATACCCAATCATCTTACTGACCTGATCTTGTCCAGTGTTTCGTGGCCCCTGTCCCAACTTTTTTGAAATGTGTTTCTGGCATCAAATTCAAATTGAATTAAACATGGGTTTATATGATTTGCAAATCATTGCATTCCGTTTTATTTACATTTTACACAGCGTCCCAATTTCTTTGGAGACAGGGTGTTACTTTTGTAATTTTATGTAATTGTATCCAGAAGGCAGAAATGCAATATTTTGTGCACAAATTTGTTAGCCTGTTGGTATGTTACCCAAAACTGTAACGGAAAAGTGTGAAAACTACATATTAAACAATCGTTTCATTTCAGAATTTACCGAAAATATAAACAAAAACACAAAACAGAATAAAGGTTAATAAATCCAGGTTTATTACTCTTTTTCTTTATACAATCAAGCTTACAAGGCACACAATTATTTGAATGCATTTTAGTTTAAAATATATTTATTTAAATAGATTTTTTAAACACTGCTGAAATACCATACTGAAGGTTTCGAAAACTCTGCCATATATATATGTCTGTATTTTTACATACTGCAGGTTAAGTAATATATCATGAATGTAATTTGTTTTTCTCATTGCCTTGCTCTTAATAATGGTAATACCTTGATTTAAAATGTGTAACATATAATGGTTTTTAACCATGGGTTCAGTATACAGCACAATCTGTTGTCTTTTAAAAGATCTTATACACAACAACATCCTGAGATAGCGTTTAATGTGTTGTTTCGTTAGGATTATTACATTTTACTTGCAGAAGGCAGAGCAACAATAACAGGATTGAAAGCATCCTGATTTCTGCATAAATTTAAAACAAGTTCTCCACAAAATAAAATATTTCAGTATTAGTATGCGATATACTATATACAGTATATAAATAAATGATTCATATCAAAGCCTAGTTTCATCATTAATGTGGTATTATCTATTTGTAGATAAGTTACAAAAAGTTAAGAACTGCCATGTAAATGCTTTGAATTCTAAAAATGGTGCTCCGTGTACCCTCACAGGTGATTGGTTAGAAAGCCCTCACAGATGATTGGTTAGAAAGCCCACACAGGTGATTGGTTAGAAAGCCCTCACAGGTGATTGGTTAGAAAGACTTTGAAATTTTCTTACTGCCTCACTTTGAGTGAAGGGGAACAAGGCCCAAATGCATAGTACGATTACAATCAAAATATGACTACAACGATGCAAAAAAAAATTAGCATAGTAATATGTTGCATTATGTGCTCATAGAAAGATGTGAAAATTGTGTGCTATAGACAAGATGGCACATCCCATACGCGGAGACAATCCTCTACCCTGGACAGCGCAGGTTTGTCCAGACTTGGCACACTAAACAGACGATACTGTCTGGGGTACACAGGTACTCTGAAACCTGTCATTCAACATCATCTGCAAAAGGCTGATGATAAGCACAGACCGTATGGCACTAAAAACAATGCAGACAAGAAAACTGTTCTTTTTTTTGGTTGTTATGAGAAAGGTATGAAATTTCACTGGACAGTTATGGGTTTGTGATGTTGCCCCTAAGGCCTCATTGCTCTGTGTGTAAGTGGGACCACTTCCATTGTCGGTGTCCTTTTGCTGAAGAACAGAGGGTTTCGGTTCTCCGTGGCGGCTTGGCTAAACCGCGGTGGGCTTCTCTGCCCCTGAGTTCTCACTGCTAAAGCACTTTGCTGGCTCACATCCGCCTGGCTGCGGTCGTCATGCAAAGAGGCCTAGCCGCCTCACCTTAGCAGACAGAAAGGAGTGCAGGATGAACACAACGGTCTTTGGGCAAGAATGGAGGTCCAGTTGCTGTCAGGGGAAAGACGGGAGAACAAAAAAGGCCCATTAATCAATAAAAGTGAAAAATACACCATTTCCATTCTGCAATGCCTTCCTAACTTAATAAAAATCCAAAGCTTTGTCAAGCATGTTACACAATTCGTCTGAATTACAATGAACCATTACAGGATATGGTCTGAAATCCCAGAATTTGTTAGCACTGAGCTATCAGCCACCTCACACCCATCTAAAGTGCCTCAACAAAATACGTGTACAGACCGGTTTACGTAGTTCAGTTCTTTTGTAGCATCAAAAAGGATGGAACTAAAGGCCGACTCGTACCTCACTTTTCCACATGCACGATTGGTCCACGCAAGGGTTAGTGAGCTGGATGATGCATGTATAACCTAGATTTTTATGCCCGATGGACATCATGCACCTCAACTGCGCACGCACGAGGGAATAGATTCGGCGTTTCCAGTAGGTGGTCAACAGTAACAAGAAACAGCAGAGGAATAGTTGCTGTTGTTGTTGTTGTTGTAGTTTTGGTGAGTGGAGGGTTGAAGGTACCAGCATATCTCATTTGTCATACTGTCCAGACTTTATAGCGTGGTGTATGGAATTTTCAAAAGCAACTTTATTCTGGCGTTTTGAAATCCTGGCAATATCATTTGTCAGACGGTGAGGTCCCGGCTAATTTTGTCATAAGGATTTCAAAATACCACGGTACACCTATTACCTTAATACCGCCAAGCCATGCAACTTTGAAACTGTTCATAAAAAGGTCGCCCATGTCACTACACTCCTTGTATTTCGGTTTGCTGCACATACATCTGCCCTCTTCTGGTCCGGTGGAATATCACTGCTGTGTGCAAGCACCGACCACAAGCATCTGTGTCTATGGACAAATGTAGTATGAACACAAGATTCCATTAGTATGAACGGCCGCGGGGCAAAGGCACGTGCGGAAGAGTGAAGTATGAACTAGGCTTAAGAGTAATATCAGAATTCTGAAGGATTCTGGCTACCGCTGGGTAACATCCATCCATCCACCCATCTTCAATATCTGCTTACCAAGGTTATGCTTATTATGAGACTGGAGCCTATCCCAAACCCCCCCCCCCCACCCCCGTCTTTCGCTGACTTTTAAGAAGCTTTTCCCCCCACTTTTTTCACTTCTGCTGGAGCCAATCGGACAGTAACAGGGCACACTCACGATCTCCGCTTCTGGTCCGCCGAAGTCCAAGACCATCGTGCGCACGTTGTCATCAGAAGACATGCGGAGCTTTTCGAAGGGCCGCTGCAGCAGGACCGTCTTCCTGGAGCCCGGCTCCTCCGTGAAAATGCTGAAGCCCTCCTCAATGTGGATGCCCAAGATGCACTCCTTCCCATTCCAGTTGCAGGCTAAAGGGGGTGGAGCGCGTAGAAAATCTCATAAATCTTAAAAATTCCATTTCAGAATTACCCATGGTGCCCTATGCTTTTCCTTTCGAGGACTCCAACAGGTCTGGAAAATGGAATATTCTTTTATTGCACAAATGAGATTAAAATTGTAGCAACAGATGAATTATCACATCCAGAGACTCATCATACCAGAGCAGTTAAATACACTGCTTATGTTTTTACATGCTTGCAGACCTGATGCAGAATATTTTTCTTAAATGATGGGGGGATAATTTACCCTTTTTTCAGCAACAGGGGTCTTTAACATGAAGGAAATCAGCAAGCCAGGAATAACGACAGCTTTAGCTTAAAGACTTAAAGACTGTCTGATTTACACAGCAGTAGGGGGCACTATAGGCACAATTTTGCTGTTACTTTGAAAGTCTGACATGACCAGTAGATTGGCATATTCTCACTGTTTTTGCACGTTTCCATTGGGTACTACTGTTTCCTTCCACAGTTAAGCTAAATGGTATCTTTAAGTTGCCCGTAGTGTGTGCTCAAAAATACAGTGTCTCTAACTTAGTGTGTGACTGTGTTTGAGTGTATGACTGTGTTTGAGTGTGTGACTGTGTTTGAGTGTATGACTGTGTTTGAGTGTGTGACTGTGTTTGAGTGTATGACTGTGTTTGAGTGTGTGACTGTGTTTGAGTGTATGACTGTGTTTGAGTGTATGCCCTGCAATGGAATGGCATCTGAACTTGGCGGTTCCCCTGCTTTGGACCCTGTGATCCCTGAATAAGCAATCAAGGATGGCTGGATGGCTGGACACATTGTTCATACCAGTAGTAACCTCTTTTATGAGCTCTGCTGCGCTGTGACAGCCGTCCACAAGCATGTGAGTCCAGGTCGACAGCTCTTTGGACGAATCAACCTGAAAAACATGGGTCTCCACCCCTTTTCTAGTCCCACTCCGGAGGACGAAGGTGAGTTCAGGATCCATGATGGTGGAGGTCTTCCCAGGTCCTGAATGCACCAGTCTGAGAGGAGAACGGAGGAAAAAAAGAGATAAGGAGAATGGGAAGGATGACAAAGAAACTCACAGGAACAAGTAACCTTCCTGTCGTTGGAGAGACATCTGATGTCCCTTGGGACTTAAAAAGTATTTAGGTATGTATGTATCTATCTATCCATCCATCCATCCATCCATCAACAATAATAACTGATATTACCGAGGCACGTGGACACAGATGTTACAGCAGGTGTCGGACATGCCCACCTTGTGGTAATGAGGGGGTAGCTCTGATCAGGACTGCAGAGGGACTCTCTGCTGTCAGGCAGGGCATGATAAAGGACCAGGTCTCTCTCCGTCAGCATGGCCAAAACTGACTTCTCTGGGCCCTGTGGCGGCTGGAGCAGAGCATCCCACCAAGAGTTAGTGCCGGCAATCAGCGGTATCGTTTCAGAGATTCCTCCTGGCCAATTAGTCACATCTGTTGGATTAAAGCCACGCTTCTCATTTGATTTATTATAAAACCATTTTAAACCGCGAGTGACTCGTCCCTGCCTCGGCGTCCTGTGTTGTGGTCCACAACATCTGGGCTCTATTCTCATGAAAGAGCTGTGCTCAGATTGCCCCAGGCTCTGTTTATCTGAGTTGATGGTCATTTGTAGACTTTCTTCAGCAGCAGTAATCTGTTCAATGTGACCTAGAGGAACTTTGAATTAAACCGGATTCGATCTGCCAAGGAAACTTTTGAAGCCAACTCAGATGTCCCTATGAAAACATTAAACTTTTCATTCAAAGCCTGAACGAAAGTTCTGAAACCAGAACCTTACTATTGTACCTTATTCGGCATACCTGGATTTCTTCTTTACAATACCTAAAATGTAAATGGTCAAATTCTAAAATTTTAACAGAAATTGCTTTGGCGGAAACAAACTACTTCACCATCTACAGTACTGCAGAATACCACAAATACTGACGTCAGAATAGCAGTTACTGCTAGCGGCACTGATCCATTACCTGCTCAGTGAGCCAGCCGATGTGCTTGACCTCCTGCCCGCCATGCATCCCTCTCAGCTCCTCTATCACCTTCGGAACCAGGCCACTGGCAGCAGACTGAATGGTGTTGTACCACGACTGCGCCATCGCCGCGTCCTTTGCACGCAAGAACAGAGACGTTCTTCGGTCAGCGGAGATGACCTTGAAGTACCTGAAGGACAGAGGAAGGCTGAGTGGCTGCTCTTCAGTTTTTCCTGTCAGAAATCCTATGCCATGTTTAGGCTGAACCTAAATGACCAGTTAGAATAAAAGTAATATGCAAAATAATTCCAACCTGATACCAAAAAATAAATAATCAATAATCAATGTGGATGTAATATTAAGGAGCCATTAGCTGTGCACTGAGTGTTTTCAGTTGGGGGAAAATGGTAAAACAGATCTTATTTGTGCCTGTCAGCTTCTCTGCATCTAGTCACCAGTTCATCGAATCAGAGTAGCATTTAATGCCCCTTGTAGAAAGAATGCCTTGAATTTTCTCTGCGGTTATGACTGCTAGAGGAGGTTACTTTGATCAATCAAAGAAATGGCATTTTCTTGCTAATAAATGTACTCACACGGTGAACATACTGTAAATTTATGTTAGCAAAGAACATTGAGTGCATTTTCTGTAAATGTTCGTAAAAGCGAGTAAAGTGCAAATGTAGAAAATCGAAGTGTGTGTGAAAACTTCTGACTGGCGGTGTATAGCTAGAGGAAAGTGGCCTTTCTCTGACCCTAAAGACTCACTTATCACCAGACTGAAAGCTAACGTTGGTTTGGCCCTTTGGAATGGGAACCCCAAGTAAACACTGGCATCTGTATTTAATCTCCAGCTAACTGCTGACGTGCTGTTGGATAATTACACAAATATGTCTGAAGAAAAGAGGTTAAATCGAAGGTTAATCCACACAAACTATTCCAGTACGTGCCTCTGAAGTGTCTTGCATAATGCCAGGCTAAGCAGATGTACCTGTTTTCAGTATCAGGCGGACATTGCTTCTTAGTAACCTGACACATTTTCAAGGGAATCTCCCGGGTCAGTTTGGGCTCCGCTGGGGAGTTAGGTGCTCCTTGCTTGTTGGGGGATCCTCCTGGTGTTTCCCAGGGTACAGGACCCCCAGCATTGACGTTCCTGAAGTACGCCGACATCTCTTTCATGTACTTCACTGGGAGAGACAGATGCAACAGAGGTTTCGTGTCAAGGCCGCAAGTTTTTTGTCTCCTGCCAAGACAGATGAAGCATATAGAGAAAAGCTTTGGCAAGCCTCACACAGATGTTAGTGCTAGTATGTAGAGACAGCAGGACTGATGGATCAGCAGGCTTTACAGGACTTCCTGTGATGTGGCTGTTTGACCAGCAGGTCTCAAGCTAACGTAACAGCAGCCAGTGCTGATTGTTCTTCACAGCACCAGGGCCACTAACAAGTTAAATGTAAAATGACTTTAAATTCTACATTCCACAACTTTTGAAGTGACTGATTTCTTAAATTTAGTATTGCAGGTATTTTGATTCAGACACAATTACCCAAAGTAACCTTTAAACCCTTTTCATAAAATGTCAAATTATTGTTTCTATACAATCGTGAAGTTGCTTAATATCAAACCATTCCACTTTTCACCAAAATACACAAAAACTAAACTAATAATTTAGTTTTCAACTATGCATAATTTTTTTTCACTATGCATTGGAAAAAAAAATCTATATTTGGCGTATATTAGATAGAACCAATGGGTAGAAAAGGGTTTCAGTGCTCGTCCTGAATGCTGTGAAATAAAATCAGACATTTAGTTGTTTAACTACAGTCACAATCACGAGGGTTATGGCCAGAAGATCATCCAAAGTTTTTAATACTTGGGCACGTCATTAAAAATGCAAAATGAATGGTACTGGAAAGTTTTAAAGTTACTGCGAGAAACACGGGATGACAGGGTCACAAGGACAGCTAACAAGTGAGGTGGTTGGTTCAGTGTACCCAGGCCAAGAGGAGTAGACCTCACAGGTTTTAACATTTATATATTATATTACATTAAATTATATTATATTGTATTGTATTTTTTTATATATTATTCTTGAGCATGGTCTTCTTGAGTTTCTGCACTCTCCCGGCCGGCTCCATAAATATTCCCATCTAATTGTTCACGGCCAACCCGCGAATCACGGAAACCACAGATGTCAAATTTGCAAATCTGGAGGGGCGACTGTATAAGATACTCAGTGTTACAAACTCAGGTAAAGTACCATGTTCTGAGGTACCATGGCAAGATCCAACGTTGGGTTTTAACCAACGGCATTCCAGACTGCAACTCCATGCCCTTAATGTTTAAAGTGTCCAGAGGCAATCTGACTTTAAGCGAAAACTGACATCCCTGTGGAAAAATGCTTCCCCCCCCCATTCCTCCCCATCAACATGCAGTGCATCTACAGGTCTTGCCTTTCTTGGGAGTATTTGGCACCCTGTCTGCTCGGGCCTGTTCAGAGGGCCGAGCCTGCAGTCCAGGCAGCTTGGAGCCATGTATAAATAGAGCAAAGGGACACTTCTCGTGGACAAGTATCGGGTTTCCAGTTGCTAGTGTGCAAAGTGTCCTTCCCACCCCAGACAAGGGGCCTACCACTGGCACAAATAACATCTTCGCTCATGTCCGGACAGCTGCTGTCGTCTCTGGCCACCCCCACCCCCCATGCTAAATCTTAAGCCAGCAAGAGCTCTCTGGATTGGCTGTCCCAGCTCTCTGGATTGGCTGTCCCAGCTCTCTGGATTGGCTCTCTGGATTGGCTGTCCTAGTGCTCTGGATTGGCTGACCCAGCCTGGGTGGCCGTGCAGTCTGACACTTTCTCCCGTCGGTGACCTGTGCCCTTGACCTCTGATATAGCACTGCCTTTAACCCTTATCCTCCAAAACAGTGTGGCTATGTCTTCATTGCTCAACAGGCTGCTCGCTTTTCAAAGTCCAGTCACAGAACTTCTATTATTTATCTTTAATTGACTGTTCCGTGTTACCTATTGATATGCTGCTCATTCCATCCCAAATCACACATTTTACCATGCGAGTTGGTGGCTTAGAATGCTGTCACTGTGATTGGAAGGACGCTGGTTCAAATCCCGGGTTCGGCATGATGCTTTCACTTAACCCCCCCCAATTTGTCTAGGGACTGTCTGACCTGCTTAGTGAAGTACATTGTTTTGGATTAAAGTGTCTACTAAATAAATAAAATGTAAATCTGCCTGTACTCCTTTCTCCTTTCTATGATTCTATGATTCTCAGTCAAAATTTGTTCCCATCTCAGAATGTTGAATAATGAAGCAATATGCAATCTGGGTGTGGACGGGATGGGTGGGGCATGGAAAAATTACTTTTGCTCTTAATATCCAAAAATGAACCTGGCTAAATGACAGCGAATGTAATTCTGAGCCAAAGGAGACTAAACCGATCTGACTCTCTGCAACAGGCGAGTAAAACCATCCTGGGGAGAGAAAAAGAAACATAAGCAGTGAAATGGAAAGTACTACTAAGGCTGAGTCAACATGAGGCAGATTGAGTTTAATAAAACCCAAACGTTACCATGAATGCCACTCTCTCCGGCAGCCTCCAGGCAGAGCTAAAATTAGCAGCTGCCGCTGTGCTGTTATTACTATCTCTTGAACAGCATTTTTAGATGCGGATGTACTGCCCCCCCCCCCCCCCCAGTCTCTCCCAAACATCATGCAAACCCTCCTCTGTGGCCTCACAAAGTCGCCCCAAACAACCTTTTCATTATTATCTTAATGCAAAATGCCCCTGATTCGTCTCAGATGTTTATCTCACCTAGCGGTGCCACTTAACTCGCAGTTGTATATTTCCGGCTGGAGTGTTGCTTGAGAAATCATTTCTCGTTATAAGCAATATCTGGTGAATCTGAATGGAACTTTTTATCATTTAAGGGAGTTAGGTGTGGCTTCTGTCATAAAAACAACACTTGATGACATAGTGGTGACCCTAATTCGATTTCAGTAAAAAAAAAAAAGCTGGATTGTTTTAAATTGCAGGCCTGATACTGAAACCTGAAAGCCTGGGATCAAAACCGGTACACTGTCACAAAAAAAGTACCAAATTGTCCCTCTGCTTGTCACTGGGTCTGGATCCTCAAGGGTCTGCCAACTGTACCCTCCAGCTGTTGGTAATTGTACCTTTCAAGGTACAGAAATGGACTCTGGGGAACATCCCCAAAGTAAAAATTACATTCATGTACCCCCAATAGTATTAAAATGTTCCTTATAGTCCATTTCTTTACCCTAAAAGGTACAATTACCCTTGAAGGTACAGCCCCTGTGACAAGCAAAGGTGTCACGCCCCGCTCCGTCCGCTCCCGATGTGTGCCACGCCCACCTCAT